ATACACGACAGTGTACATTCTGGGCAACGAGCACATCTCTTCCGCTTACGATAAGCACGTAGAAGGGATTTTCGACTGCCACATACATTTTTTTTAATTACATCGCAATCACGTTTCTCTCACGCTCTCCTTCGCATACGTTCTTCTCATTTATTCTCTTCTATTTTTCTTTTCTTCTTTCATTCATCCCTCTCAATCTTTGTCTCAGTTTTTCGCTCCTCTTGCTATCACAATCGCGTAAGTTAATATCGAAGAGCGATACGATTTACAAAGCAGAACACAATTCATATATTTCATTCTTTTTCCTTTAATTTATTTGCAGTTTTTTTTATTTTCTTATTTAAGGGCGTCAATAGGTCGTCAATACGCAAACAGTTGCAAAAATCTGATTTCATATCGATATAATAAAATTTTAGCTTATTATATACATGTCTTCTCGTCGTATATGCGTTACTATTGTATCAGCTTCACAGACCCCGTTATCATGGTCGATTCACATTGCTTTTATGATTATAATAATGATTACCATGATTTCTGGGAATGCTCACAATCATTATTATGATCATTATCGCAATAGTCGATGTCGCAGCAGTTAACCATCCATCGTCCGTAATTATACAATAGTTATACATTATTTCTCTTGCTTGCTCCTAATCACGCATTTTTCACATTTACATTCAACGTATACACAGACTTATGTAACACACACACGTATGCACGCATTTACTCTCGTACTCTCTCATTTATCCTCGTCGCTCGTGTCGCCGCTCATAAAATCTTTGTTACGATTTATCCTCTAACATGATTATTATTTAGATAGACCTTACTGTTACTTCGTATACATTTTTAAGGCGATGATTCAATCGAGTGAACTCATTTATAAAACGAACAGCCGATATGACGTCCGCACGCTCCGTTCTTCGTTTAAATTGTGCCGATATTTACACGCATTCTCGATCGTGCGATCTTCTTCCGTGTCTGTCTACTTATAAAATTAATTCTTCAACTTTTTTCGCTCGTTTTATGTCATATCAAACTACGTTTTAAGTGAATTGATTCCGAAGTAAATTGCTGAACATTCCACTCATCTATGTTAATGCGTTAACGTAACTACAAACTGAGTTTGTTATTGTATTGACATATTGTGTGATGTTAATGATTATCAGAAAAAAATAGTTTGGAACATTACAGAAATTAAATTACATATACTTTATAGATGATTTTGCTATCAGATTTGTGTATGTAAATATTTTTACTATAATTTTGTTAAATGTCACTCTTTGTTGAGGAAATTAATTGCTTACATACGATCGCATACATCATTTATAACTCAATGTATCGTCGTGCATGGCCAAAGGCAGATCTCAACAAAATTAAACATATATCATTCAACAAATATAATTCATAAAAATTGCCTTTAACGTTGCACGCGACAGAGAAGATATCGATCATCGATTATAGTATTTTTTGTGATTGTCTCGTTCTCAATAATTATTATATATTCATAACTTTATCATTAAATAGTAAATAATATTAATTTTAGTTTTAATCGAGAAGATTCCACGCGCCGAAATTATCGCGTCCTGAAATCGACGTCCTTGCGCGTGCGAGGATTATTAAATAAAGTAATGAAAATTCATGAAAATGAATAAAAAGGAAAATATGAAATTAATTATAAACAGTATTAATTTTCATCAAGTCTTGAGCATATAATCTCGGCGACGTAATCTCGTATAAAATGTATACGTTACGGGCAATATGATTAATTCGGGCATCATCCATAATAGTCGGCCAATATGGATAATGCTCGCGAATTAATCAAATTGTCTGTAATATGTATATAGACAATTTTCACTTGTTTCTTATCGTATAGGTATGTTTTCATCCGTCGCGATGATCGCGATTAATTTCCCCGACGAAAAAGTTGGTGCGACTCGCGTCGAAGGACCCGATAAATTTGTACGGTCAAGGAATCTCCTTCTTTACTCTTTTTCCCCTTAGCGAAGGAAAACGGTCGACGATCGTACGATCGATTGGTGTATCTCATGTAGATAGAGGAGGAGCCATGCACGTACGTTTGCGCGATGCACGCACGCACGCACGCACGCTGTAATTTGGAAAGTTCTTCCGACTTAATCAGGACAATAACTATACTGACTTTTCTCGCACCTGAGTCTTTCGGTATACGTGGGTTGTTTTTTTTTTTTTTAGTTTAGTATACTAGAACGCCGATCACGCGAGCAACGTGCAACACTCACGTCCCTCTTCAGCCGCAAAAAGAATCGGATGATTCATACGATCTCGAGATCGTTCTTGCGTTTCTTACGCGGAATCTAATCTGTTGGACTTATCGGGATATATTATGAGGAACGTCAATCCGTTGCCGACGCGTCGCTCGGCTTCCGGCAGGAGCAATTGTGTTACATTAAAACTTTTATACAAGATTTGCGTGTACGTGGATGTATTGAAAATATTGATAAAATTTTTGTTTATGCTCTTTCTTTCCTTCTTCTCGCTCCCTCTTCTTCTACCCGTCATTCCCTCATTTTGCTCATCGTGCTCTGTCGATCAGAGAGAATGGTACCGATGATCCATCTTTCCGAACGAACCGTCGTGACTCGATCGTCGAGAGATCAACGAGACACGTCCTAGCGTGACGCATGTGACGTTAACGAGGGGCGTTTTTATTATTTCATACCCTTATTCGTCATGAATTCGATCTCACGTATAATCGACGTTTTAATTTCATTAAAAAATTTTTTCTTTTAATACACAATGTTCTGTTTGGCATATCGCGTTATAAAGGTTTCTCGAAAATTCATTCTGTTTCTTCGAAAATACTGTCTCCTTGCTCCTGTTCCCTCATTCGCATGTTCGTTTCTCTCTTTTTCTTATTTTCTATTATCGTTTGCTCGTATTTACGTATATCAGAGACGCGTATGCGACAAGATTTGTATAGAAATATAAATTCCTCCAATATAAATTGCAGAATGAGGGACAAGAGATTGGAAGAGATAAATATAGATTGAAAATTGATTGCATTCTACTTCTTTCTTCGTTCAATTTGAATTTAACATGTTATCGAACAAAAACGACAATAATAAATTTTAACAACAACGTAGGACGAATTGTGTGGAGTAACAAAAGTATTGGAATAGCGACGAAAACGAGCGCATGAAATGGAAGGAAAAAGAGTGCGAGAAAGATTGAAAGCAAAAAGACAAGGAATTTTTTCTCAGATTCGCAAATGACCGTAACAATGGCCGTAATGTCGCGGGCGAATGTGCGTATATGCTTAAAGGAACACGTATATGCGGGAAAGATAGGTAGGTGGCATCGCGATGATACAACTGGACCGTCTTTATCGATGAAAAAAGGATAAGGAAAGTATCAAATTTAAAAGGGGGTTTTTCCTTTTTCTCTCTCTCTCTCTCTCTACCGCGAATTAACTGCTAATTGTATTCAAGAGAGGGATCGTTCACGAGCACGATTATAATTGTAGAAGCGCGCTCATACACACAAGCACTTTGATGATCATTTCCGCTTGTTTTCATATAAATAAACAACTGGTTTAGCGAAATTTCTATTGATGCCATACATTAGCCGTGTGATTGATGAATATTCGATTTACAAAAAACTAAATTTTATCATTGTTTTAAGTTGCCATTGGCTACTTTTTCAACTAATCGAGATCTATTCTTGCAAAAATTCATGAAAACTTTTATTAGATGTAAATTCGATATAGATCGTATTTTTATGACTCGACTTTTTTTAAAAATTTCAATAAATCATTGCGTAAATAAATTATTTAATTGAATTTAATTTTATCGTGATCATCAAAGTATCCTTAAGCACGCCGCTGCTGTACGAAAACGATAAAATGTTAAAAGGAAACGGAAAGAAATAATAAATACTAATATAAGTCTTTGACGCAGCAAGCTAAATAGAAATATGTACATTTCCAAACCGTAATAAAACACCGCATAAGGCAATTATTGCATATGCATAATATGTAGAGATGCAGATTACATCATTTTTAATATCAGTAATATACTGTTCGTATCTTTCTTTTTTTTATTTCGTACGTACTCACCTTCTTTGACATTTTCCGATCACAGAATTTCGTTGAAAATGGATGAAGAAAATAAAGACGAAAATAAATTGTTCTTCTCGAGTTCCTGTCCGATTCTTTATTTTCCCACTCTCTTTTTTTCGTAGCAAGAAAACTATTATCGAAAAAATGAAGGCAAGTCAATATGCTCGCAGAACGATTCTCCTAATCAAATTTCTCGCCCACTCCCTTATCTTATTTTCACAATTGAATTAACTATTTATACAGAATATATTATAATAAAAGCTGCGATTGCGCACGTATACATTCGTTTAATTATTCTTATGGATCGTAGGAGAGCACGTTCTGTGTACAAGTATATGATGTATCTGTGTATATGCCTGTGTCTTTTCACGAAGCTGAGAAATGTATGATGTTTGAATGTATATAAATGTGTGTATGTATGTCACTTATACTGGAGCGAGGGTTGGATTGGGTTGGGGTTTTAAAGAGTAGGATTCTCAGATATTGCTGCGTCATCGAATGTACGACAAAGAACGTTAATTTTCTCTCTCTCTCTCTCTCTCTCTCACACACACACACACACACACACACACACACACACTCTCTCTCTCTCTCTCTCTCTCCCTCCCTCCCCTCCCCCTCTTTCTCACTTACTCCCTCTCTCTCCCCCCTCTCTCTTTCTCACTGATATTTATATCTCTGTTTATTTACCTATATCTAAAATCTCTCAATACGTTCATTCATGTATTCTCTCACTCGCGCTACTTGCACTTCCCATTCTCGATTTGCGCGAAAATTTTCTTGTGTCTAGTACGCGTTGGTAATATACGATAATCGTCCCAGTCCAACTACAACGCTCGACTTATATTACAATTGGGGCCACACGTTCTTTTTACTCTCCGTTATGTATATATATATAACATGCGTCGATGTCGTTCGACCTAATTCTCCTTTGTATTTGCGTCAGTTTGCTTTCATATATCTTTAAACATCTCCCGTGCCATCTAATAATCTTTCTCTTTTCATTTTCTGTCTTGCTATTTATATTTATTTATAATATGTATGTATACATACACACATATATATATATATATATATACTGCCATTTAGTTTGTCTTCTTCTTCGTGTGTTTCTCGTACTCTCTTTTTTACCTCTTTTGCGTCGTCTGTGCATTGAACATATTTTCTATTCCGTGCGAGCACCGGGTGTGTATTTGCCTCTCCTTTTTTAATGTACATGCCCGCTAAATTGCCTATATATCACTTATATTTCATTAATATATCTCGATCGCGACTGTATTAAAATTTAACATTTAAATTCTTCAATCACTACAATATTACACCGCGATATTTGTACAAAGAACAATCACATGAATTTTTTCGCGACCGCGTCACTCTCGAGACCAAGCCGCGGCTTCATTCCCCTCGTCCTTTTTCCTCGCGTTCGTAGTCACTTTGCTCCGCTGTGGAACCGTCCTTCTTCCTTCGACGGTCTCTAAGATCTCGTCGGCCTCCTGCGGCGTTTCATCTACCGTGTCCTTTCTCCTTTAAACGGGAACTTGACTCCTTCGTCCTTTTCTTTTTGTATTTCTCCCTCATCCCCAAGCACCCAAGTATCACGAATTTCGACGTGTGGCGTAGTAAGAAATCTTCAAGACTGCCATGGTGATCGTCCTGGAGGTCACGGATCATCGTTGTCCTCCGATTCTGATCTACGCCAACTGGAGCACAATAGGTCCATCACGCTTTTCGTGTTGCTAGAACCATCGTTTCACCCATTCCATTTTGCAAGTACTCCTGAAACATCCGAGGTTGGCGATCCTCAGTCTAACGGAAATATTATTTCGAAGATAATATTAAAATAAAATAAAAATATGACATTTTTAGATATAAATAATCTAATTTATTCGTAATTTTGATCAATATTTTTCTTTATAAAATCTCTATCTCTCTCTCTCTTCTCATAAATATATAATTAATTGATTGTTCAATAAATAAAAGAAGAGCAACGAGCCAATTATACTGTAAGATATTTAATAATCGTATATATACAAACGTTTCGACACCGATTTATATTGAAAATGACCCGATCGGTGTCGAAACGTTTGTATATATACGATTATTAAATATCTTACAGTATAATTGGCTCGTTGCCCTTCTTTTATTTATTGATTTATTCTAATTGAGCCATATTAACAATTATTTTAATTGATTGTACATATTATGAGTTATTATCTTTTAGTAGATTATACAAACCAATTAGGCAGCTCAATGTTACAAAATAGTCACATGTCAAGTAAAAAATACAAATTCAATTTTTGAATTTGCCATATTGAATATATATGATAAATAATAAGAAGTTTGAATAGAAAAATATTTCCTTCTGATAGAAACAAAGTCTGCGAAAATTTAATAAATGAGAACGAAAAATAAACAAATCTTGATGTTACGAATAGAAACCTTGAAATAATAATAACAATAAATAAATTTTAAAAATAAATTAGATCCTCTAGACTCCTAGAGTAAAAGTGAACAAGAGAATTGTGATCCATTTTCATAAAAATTTCAATTATAATGAAATTGATTTAAAAATTTCAACCCAGGACGGTAATGAGATGAAACAAACATATAAGTTAATACATAAGGACACACACTGTAATCCGATGTGAAAAATTGATAATCGGAACATCAGTATAATATACACAAACCTTTATAAGTGATGTCCGTAGTATTCTGGATAATGATACTGATTGTGAAAGGTAGGATCGCCGGGCGGTCGGTGCATCATGCTGGCCTGTCCGTCCATCATGTAGCCCATCGTCGCATCCGGACTGTATGCCCCACTTGGTCCTGCGGACAATGGTGGAAACACTACACATTACTACGGTTAGATCTCTGTTCCGTAATTGGCAGACGGGTACTGGACAAGCTCGCCGTGACCCCTTTCAAAGTTCTCGAGGAACTCGAGACTTTGATGCCCACTCGATACTCAGTCTCCTCATGGCAAAGAGGTAGGATGAGGGAGATCGAGAGGAGCACGTATCGGGGAGCACGGTGAGCTGTGTGATGTGATTCACCAAAGTCACGCTCATATCACTAATGATTTCAAAAGCTTATATCGTAATTCTAAATATTCTTAGCATTTTTAGTGAATTTTTGTGACTCATATTTTTGTTTAGCATATAGACGAAAGAGAGAAAAAATTAATTAGTTTCTTTTGAGAGAGATAATTTTGAGAATGAAATGTTAATAATTTAAAAATATTAAATAATAAATAATATAAAAAATATATGAATGCAATAATTAGCAAGCGTTTAGCGCGGTAAGTGATGCACAAATTACAATATATATTATGTATTGAGAATTAAATTTAAAATAATACATAATCAAAATAATCGAACGAAATTATATTTTTGTAACATAAATACATATATAAAACTTAATGGTAATGCTACTTATGATTTCATAATGTTTATAATTTGCTCGTGACATTGGCAATCGATGTGCGTGTGTGTGTGTGTGCGTGTGTGTGTGTGTATGTGCGTGTATGCCTTTTTATTGATACTTTTTATTACTGATTAAAAGATTCTCTTAATATTCTGGTGATTGTAATAGTTTATTTTTTTATAATCAGTATAACATCAATAATGCATCCAGTTGCTAACAATAGTCAGTATAAATAAATTACTGTGGTTTCTGCTATTGCCGATGAAAAAAAAATAAGAATGCATGCGAATAACAGATCACTGTTAATTTCAGGAAAATGTCGAAGGTGTCAAGTGCAACTGAGAATTCAATCTCATCCAAGCATTTCGATGCAATGTGACGACAGCTCTCCTCTGTTCTAAGCGATAATGGAACCTCGGAATCCATGGGAGACTCCCCTAGTTTTAATGTCGGTATCTTAATGTATATTGCCACGATAAATCAAGAGCACTGATTGCGTCCTACCCTCTATGCTAGTAAATGCTCAACCGAAGCTGACGACACAAGAGAGATGAAAACAGAGAGAGAGAGAGAGAGAGAGAGAGAGAGAGAGAGACGGATAAACGAATGTCACTGAAGTCCGAAACACTGAGAGCTCGATTGCCACTGTGAAATACTTCACTAAGCTTTTCATATGCTAAAATTTTCCTCCCTCAACTTATATCTCTCAATATTATCTACAGTTTGCCACTGTAGATTTATCAAACTATACACGCATTAACTGCGTGTAAATCTTCAAACAATATGTAGCAGATGTAGATATACGTATTGAAAAGAGAAAACCCATGTAATATTTCGTTCTAGAATCTAGCATATCATCAGTACAATAAGACGTGTCGCTATACCAGGCAGCAACATCTTGGGTATATTTAATATTAATAAAAAATTAATAAAACATTGATTTCCCGTGTCGCAAAACGGAATTATAAGCTTTTGCTATAAGTTAAGCCATCGGTTCCGAACAATCATGGAAAAGAATACCAATTAAAGCTTGCACCCGTTAAGACAATAGGTACCCAATTACACAAAGCCTGCAGATAGTATAAAGACACAGTCTAGTATATCGCGATTCTCCACGGTTCGCTGGATTTTCCATCAGTGGTTTGTCAAAAAGCGGGAAATCCGTAATCTCGCTTCCTCCCTTCCTCCCTCGTACTCTTTCGCCTTTTTCTTCATCTTCTCGTCCTGCCGACGAGTTCTTCTGCTTCGCAAAATACGTCGCCACGGTTTCAAACGATCTCTCCGCGCTTTACTTTGCCAGCAACCAAATCGTAAATCACAATTATTGCAAGCATCCCCTTTCGTTCAGGATCTGTCTCTTTCTTCGATTTCCTTAGACTGTTTTTCAACTACGCGCAACGCTCTTCAATGTAACTGCTCCCCATTCCTCGTTACTTTTTCGATGAGCATGTTCACTATAGATTCAATAACATTGGTAATGCGAGATACTAAGGATAATGTAAATGTTTTCTTGACAGTCTAAAGCTGTTCAACAAACGCAGAAATATATTTAGATGTAAAAAGCATTATGTTATGATCGTACTATTTATCGGAGTATTACAATGTAATATTTTTAAAAAATTCAATGTTTTAGAAAAATTATGTTAAAAAATATGGCATTAATTCTCTTTGCATCAAAATTTAAATTTTATAATAATCTAAAATTGCACTCTTGCAAAGATCCAGGTTATATAAAGAAAAAGTAATTCAGCTTTTATATGAAATAAATCAAGTGACAATGCTGCAAACTTTCTGAACTTTCGCGATAAAAGGATCAAATTATTGTGTTCGGTATAAAAAAAATTCCCAAGAGGTTTATTCAAAGGAGATATCATGTAATATAACTCGCTTGTATAGAATGCTATTTTCCCAAATTATACGTAAAGCTCAACAGTGCCGATTTGTTCTCCATTTCTCATCAAAGAAAAGTTGAAAGATTATTACCGATTTCGCAACGGCACCGCAATATTTAGATGCTGCTCCCGAACGGTAAAAATGTCTTGTACGGCATGCCGCATCTCGCAATATATACGTCGTCGTGTGGAATATAGCCGCATATTATAGTGACTACGATATTTCGCTAACGAGGGATGCGCGCTTGCAGTGTGATTAAACTGCGCTATAACGCAGCGGGGTGTCCTGGGATAGCCGACAATATAGCCACAATATAGAAAATTAAAGAATCGTTCTTCTCTTTGCAACGTCGACAGAAGAAACTACGAAAAGAAACCCGATCGAGTAATGGCTGAGAGGAAACGGAAAGGTAAAATCCGGTGGTGTGCCCGCGAGGATTTTTCTCGCAAAATCGTCCCTTTCTATGCTGGTAATTAAGACTCATGACGATGCACAGCAAAGTATCTTGAAACAAGATACAATAGATTTGATTAAATCAGAATTATTCGTACGCGACAGGAAACTTTTTTGCATGATGATACAAGCAACACTAAATAACAATGTATTAATACAAAGTATATAGACTTATATGTAAGATTAAATTCTATTGTTGAAAATAAAATTAAATATATAGATTTAATTTTGTTTAAACAATTTAAATATAGTTTTCATGTTTTTATATTTTATAATAAATAAAATAATAAATAAATCGCTATTGTATGTGAATGTATTGATATTTATACATATTTTAGATATTAAATTATGCAATGTTTAAATATTAAAAATTAATGGAATTAAAAATTCAATTATTAACCGATCAAATCTGGTACACAGTAAGAAAAGAAATCAGATTTATCTTGAGATAAAATGGGAATCTATATAAAATAGTCCCGGGAATTTCCTGTGAATAAATTATGAGTCGTATTGTGAAGGATCAAAGATGAAGATCGCGTAGTCCGATCCATTATATGAAACTTTTGAGCTATCGCCTCGTTACGCTTTAATTAACAAAGGCGAATTATATCGCCGGCTATTATCGCCGTCTTAATAGCCGTTCTTACGATGTCGGAAATCCTCGTGCGGCTTTTCAGAGTCATCCGGGGAATTCGTTGATTCTCCGACGGAGGTCGGATACCACAGGACGAAGAATGTTATTTCTGTCTCGGACTAAGCCAAAGTAGAGGGTCAATTCGATGAGGTTAGAGCCCACAGTGCAACGAGACCGCACGACGAAAAACGCCGTATGGCGTAATGCAATATAAAGTTCCCCGGTCGAGGTCAATTCACCGGCGCGATTGTATTTCGATATATCGTATAAATCTACAATTCTACCAACTCCTGGCATGCGTGCCCGCCTATCGTCACACGAAAAACTTCCCGTTGCTCGGGAAGCGCCAGTATATTTCAAGCTATATCCTGTGATTGCTAATTTACTTTAGAATGATAGGATGAGCTATGAGATAGTAGAAAATGAGATAGTCATGTGTATATGTTAATCGTCGTTCGACTAATAATAAGAAATTATACAAAAATATTCCATTCGCGGTAAAAATGCATCTTCGATTATGAATGAATGTAAGAAATTTTCTTTTGAACTATATAACGAAATTAATAGAATTCTGTGATAATCAAACGAAGCAGTTTGAATATTTCCTTAAATTCATTAAAGGCATTATCTTTATAATCAAATAAAATTTATTATCGACTCATTAACTTGCTGCCATAGCGACCGATGGAAGAGGAGCCTGGAATTGCCTCAAGGTGAATCTAATTAAACTTTCGCGACAGACCCGTTCGAAGTGGTGGAATGTCAAAGTTCGGCCGCGTAACGGAACTACTTCCTTCAAAACAGGCGAAGAAAATAAGTTAGGGGAGCTTAAGGATGAACTACTTCGTAAGAAGATATGTTTTCACGGTCTTCTAGCATCGTTAAACTGAAATTTAATAAATATTAAAGCCACAAAATTTCCTAAGACTTTTTAAAGTTATTTAAATGTAATGCCAAAATATTATATACGTATTTAATTTTCATCCCAGTACAGATAATATTACGCTGTAAAAATTTCATTTAATTTTGATTCCGAACGTTACTTATATAATGTTTACGCTTTGATCAGAAGTTTAACCAGAGGTTTTATCAAATTGATTGTGTTGGAGGAGAGTTCTCTCTCTCGGAATTGCTTCTATTTCTTGAATTATCTCATTGCATTGAAGGGGACTCAAAAAAGGAGTCAAAATGTCTGCACAGCTGAATTATTCATTCTTTGCAAACACTGTAATCCGATAATAATTATAATATTTCGATATTAATAACCGTTGCAGCTCATAATTCTATTTGACTTGTGTGATTTATATATCATAGTTTGAATTTCGTCCAACATGGTCATCAAAAAATAAAAAAATTACATGACAATTATATTGCTTAGAAGTTAACAAAATAGATCGCGCAGAAATTTTAAAACTAGCTAACTATCCAAAATCCTTTTCAACGA